ATACAATTCAGGCCAGTGCAAATCCGCTGCAAACAGAGTAAAAAACAGAGTTGGCATTCCGATAGTTTTCACCATGTCAATCAGTTCAGAACTGCGGTGATGCCAGTATGCTCTCGTGCCTCTGAGTTTGGAACCGTAATTCATGATTTGCTTAATTAAAGTTGGATTGGCCTCTAGCTTGTCACGCAGTTCGTCCGCAGTAATGTTTCCCAGTGCAGACTTTCTTACAAAAATTTGTCCCGTTCTTAGCGCTTGAAAACGGAACAAAGTATTCATGGCGAAAAACCGGAAGGTTGGATGAGAAGCAGACCGCCTTCCTTTATACCGCATCAGGTGCTTAAAGTATTCGTTTTCGGTCACCGGTATTGCTCTTCCTCGGTTGTCTCGTAGATCCGCCGCGCCGGTAGGAAATAAGCACGGATACGCTTGAGCAATATAACCGGGTGTAGTAAATTCATCAATAGGATAAGGTGACATTTCGGGATAAGCTATTTGTGGATACCAACAGCTTCCTTGATTTGAGCGGACTGGTTTGCATGAGGCGTTACGACCACACCGGTATCATGTATCCGGTCGTCGGCCTCGCTTACTTCGGAAGGCGACTGAGTAATCGTATGCAAAACAGAATGCAGATTTCCGTTTCAGGCAGCAGCGACAGGTTTGCATTACTGATTTCGATATCCTTGCACCACATATTGTGTTTTTTCAACCACAGAAGGGCTTTGCGGATACGTGTTCCAGATACGTTGAATGCAGTATAATTGTCCACTGCGCTGCGGTTAATCAACACAACGGAAACCAGTTCATGTATACTATGTGGCGGAGATTTCGCAAATGACTTCACATCCTGCCTAAAATTGATAACGTTCACACTGTAGCTCAACTGTTGCCCGTGACCAATTTTGTATAATGACAGGACTGGGTGGATTCGGGCTATCAGTTGCTGTTCCAAATATGTCAAGCTTGCCAAGACTGCCGGTACAGCACCTGGATCCATATTGTTTTGCTCGCTGAATTTGGAGAAAGCTTTCCTGCAGTGCGCACAACGCATTTGATTGTCTAGTTTTAACCCTGGCCAGGACTCCTTACAAACAACACACTCTTTCCAAATGAAGGTCGTCATATGTTCGTGGAGTGAAACTGCCAGTAACTTAGGTTCCATTGAGGCTCGCAACACAGCCCGACTGAAGCGCATGGCGGCTACTCGTATATCTCGTTGCGGTGACCTTTGTGATTGTCGTACACGGGCGTGAGCTTCCGTGTTTCGGCGCTGTTCCCGGGCTCTTTGTGAAGGCTGTTCGCGACGACATGCTATACGTTCTCGAGCCCTCGTATTCACATTATTTCGGGTACGAGGCGATAAGGTTTCGTTGCGGCGTCGAGCGGCAGCCTCTCTGTCTTTTCTTCTTTTGCTGCGCAATTGAGCGGAAGTCTTGTCGCTCTTTTTCTCGCCTGGTTGACCCTGTTGCGCGCACGAGCTTGCTCAGCTTGCTGGGAAGATTGTTGGCGTTTGCGTTTAGGGGGAGGCGGAAGCGGTTGAGATGCGGAATCAGCACTCTCTGACAGTTCACCTGCAGTTTGGAAATTGACATTGTTAGCGGCATATTGGTCTGCGGTAATTACATAATATTAAACTTACCGTTGGCTGACTGCTGCTTCCGTTGTCTTTTCCGCTTGATGCTTGTTGTTCTAACCGGGGCTACCCTGGGCGCCATTTGATAAGATAAGCTGGTCTTTATGTTAATCGATGAACGGCACCGGTACCGGCAAATTTTTGCCGGCAGTTAAATAGGTCATAACTTTGCAATACATAGTGACCTTTTCGATTTACTGTAATTTATGTGCATTTTATATATCGTATTACAAAAGCATTTCAAAAATCTGATTCCATGGTGACAATACTGTAATGACACTAATGAGTACTGTACTTAATAAGTATATCATGTGGCGATGACCGACGAACGGACATTACGAATAGCATCTGTTGGAATATATAACGGCATGGGTGCATTTGTTGGCGGTGACCGACGTACGGACATCGCCAGTTACATGAGATGTGAGCATATACGGCCACCGCGCATGCGTGCATTTGTTTCCAATGCTAATGTGCGTATGTGCATTTTGTGGCGGTGACCGACGAACGGACATCACTTTTCCCATTATTTCTGAACATAGAGGACCTTCGCTACGCTTCGGTCGATTATACATTGCGGCGCATGGATGCCACGTGCACGTCAAATTATATAGCTCTACATTTTCGCCGCACAAAAACCAAACAGTTCTGTCCAGCGACTGTGGTCATTGGACAATCCGGCAGCAAATATTGCCCTGTCCATGCTTTTATGGCTTATGCCTCCCTAAGACGAAAACGATTCTCACCGGATGCGCCCCTTTTCCGTTTTTCGAATGGTACCTTCTTGACTAGGCAGCAACTGTCCTTTTTTCTTAAAAAACTTACGAATATTAATTTTTTCTGCACATTCTATTCGCATTGGTGCTGCTTCCGCTGCTATTGAAGCAGGTTTCAGCACTAAACAAGTGCGCCTTCTTGGTAGATGGAGAAGTTCCGCTTATACTCTATAATCTCGTACCAGTGCTCACCATTTGATTTCTCTGACTAAGCAATTTATGAACTGACTTATTTAATAAATAAGACTTATTTAATAAACAATGGTGGCTGTTTGTCTCGTTTGTTTTTTTTCTTTCTCTTGTTTGGGCCGCGGCTTCGCTTTTGGGGGTTTGGTCGCGGCTGGCTTACAAGCGGTGGTTCGACCAGCTTGGCCTACAGTGCCAAGCCTGGACATTGGTCTACACTTATTACCTCCGTGCACCAGCCTCAATTACGGCAAACTATCTGTTCGTCCGAAGATCGAAAAACGTTAATGTCAGTTATTGTATGACAATAACTGTCGTTAACGTGCGATCGGAGGTTACTGTGCTGCTATGGAAGATAACTCGGTGAATCATCGAGTGGGATTCCATTTTAAATTCTGTGTTCCATACAGTATAGCTAGTTTCGAAAATAGTGCACGAAAAAGTGCACAGTATCGTCCGCAGTAACTCTGTCCAAGAGAAATATACTCGCCTCACAGAAGCATGGACAAGTTGCTACACGGCAGAAGCCCCCAGGACCGAAAACCGCCGTTTCCAGTCAACTTGGACAGCAGTACAGCACACCAGGACAGCGACCCGCATTTTGGAGAACACCGACGTAATTTCCCGCGCACGTTTGTTGGCTGCATCCTCATCGGAATCCCGCGCTTGGTTAGCTGCATTACCCGTTTCAACTTTTGGCAACTTGTTCGAGAACGCCCATTTACGCATAGCAGTGGCTCGACGATTGGGTGCACCGGTATGCCAACCGCACGTATGTCGCTGCGGATCCACAGTGGATAGTCTCGGTCACCACGGCCTTGTGTGTAAGCTGGCAAAAGAAAGACACGGTACTCATGCCGCGCTGAACGCCGCAACAAAAAGAGAACTGAATTCAGAGAGTGCCGTCGACGCTTGAGCCACCGGGACTGGATAGAGGAGATGGAAAGCGGCCAGACGGAGTTATGGCTTTTCCCTGGCGCAATGGGAAGCCGTTGGTATGGGATGTCACTGTTGGCGATACCTTCGCCCAGACCTACATAGGCCATACATCACGTGTTTCTGGAAGCGCATCGGAAGTGAGAGAGAATCAGAAGTTACGGAAGTACGACGGACTCGCGGATCGATACGTAGAACAACCTCTGGCTTTTGAAACTACGGGAACCTTTGACCGCTAACCAAGAAATTTTTCAAAGATCTGTCAAGAAAGATTTGCGATTATTGAAATAAAGGATGTTTCCAGATCGGAGAGGTTCCACTTGGTCCGCAGGCGGTACTGGGTGGATGGTCGCGGATCGGGGCTCTGGAAGTCCCTCAAGGTCTGCAAGTAGGAAACATCGGACGGTTAGTTTCCAGTTCACAGGTCGCATAACTCGGGATTATAACAACGAGTAGTGCCGTAATGGTAGTTTCAGCAGCAACATCTCGGGATTTACCATTAAAAACTCCTTATTTCTACACATTTCTATTGTTACTCCACAGCTACGGGTCACCAGTGAAGCACGGAAACTGTATGTGAAAGTTTTCAATATCGATTGAACGAAATAATTTTAAGCTATACTACTGTGCTGTACTGTAAAACGAAGGTGATCGCAAGGTGATCTGACATTGGGGATTTGCACATTTCCTTTATAACTCTTGTCGAAATGTACCTGCACCTGACTAATGCGAATTAGATTTTCAAGAAAAACACACGGCTCAAAAGCTAATTCCAAAGTACATAGACTGCGTGGAATAGGAACGCAATAGTCCGCGCATAATCGCCAGGGTGTGGGTTCGAAGTTGGAACAGCAAAGAGTGGTCTACGCAGCATGCTTTAGTCTTTGGAACACATTAGAGGTGTTACCGGGTATAGTTGTTACGATCATGGAGGTTTACGACCATGGACACTGGATAGCGTGCATTGCATGGCTGCATGTATCTTTATAATCTTGTTTGTGCCGAGTCTGAGCTGTATGGTTTATGATCATATTTGTGCGGGACATTTATGTCTTTGTGGTGTTATGCATTTATATGCATGAGTGTTTGTGACCGATGGTCAAGTGGGAATGAGAGGAAGGCAGGATTAATCTGGCCTGCAGGAGCAGATGTGCAGTGGTCAGATTGGTGCGTGTGTTTTTATAGCTGTGTGGCTGTATGCGATTATGAGCGTGTTATGCGAGTATGGATATTGATGTGGTATATAAGGTGGTACAACTGTTTGGAGACGACACAGTTGTCGGGAGTGCAGCTGTCATGAAATAAAAGTTAAGCTTTTTCTCTGTGGTGTACGTTGTCTAATGCTAGATCCAACTGTGATCCAGATACGGAGACAGAAACGGAATCTATCCCGTGGAGTGAGCTATGCGATATGTATAGCGAACTACGCGGAATCGCGAAACGTCGCACCGCTAATAGCTGACTTTTTTATATTGAAAAGTCTGGAGACCAGAAAATCAACAAGTGATCGGCACAGCTCGATCGTAAATCGTAGAACCAATTCAACAGTGTGTAACACTGTGCAGCACGTGCTAAGCCGCGCCCACTAACACAACTCAAGCTAGCCAATCAGAGCGAGACACGTCACAGACCGTAATCCGAAGGCGTAGCGCCTAGCGCCACGGGCGTGAACGCTAGTGAGCCTCGTCTCACATGCCTCTGGGGGGATGCCGAGCTCCGTTGAGGCTGGACACACTCCCGAATCCACGAAAAGACGGTTGCCGGTGTCTGTGCGTGCTCAAAAACATCAAATTCTCTTATTCCATTTATCACATCAATTCCAAATGCACTATGTGAAAATAAAGAGATCTGTATCAAAATACTATTCCATATCAATTTTAATACAAAAACAGATCAACAGTTATAAGATCAACAAAAGTATTAATCAAATGTAGACTAGGATCCTCCATTTCTGACTCGTAAAGGTCACAGGTCCTGTCCACCGTTTTCCGCACTTTGGCCCATTCCGCTCTGTTGAGCAATCCCGCGCATGTGTAATGCGACTTTCATCACAATCAGCTTGAGAATCGGGTGCGTATCAAGTACGACTTAGGAATACTGCTTCAATCTTTGGAATACGGTGCGTATCATTTGTACGACTTTCAAATGAGATCCATTAAAGGTCATGGAGGGACGTCGTATAGACAAGCGTAGTTCGCTTCCTCCCTGGTAAAGGTCAACCTTTGTTGAGATGATCCGTTGTGATGTGCGACTCGGTTTGGGTTAATGGTCCCAAAAGGTCATACGGCTTAAATTCCAATACGATGACTCTGTTGGGCGGTAATAATCCCAAAGGTCATCCAACTTCACTTCAAACTTCGATTAAAGGTCATGGAGGAACTTAGCCGATTTTTGCCGACTTTCAAGCATTTCTTCGCTTGCCTCCCTGGTAAAACTTTTAAGTTGACCTTTCCGTCGCACATCCAACTCCAATATGCCTCGAGCGGCCAGAGTGCCGGCAGAGTTTACCGTAACATCTCCGATGGGGCCGGCTAACTACCGCATTAAATTTACCCCACGATGCTTCCACATTAAATCTTTGACTCTTGTTCGCCGCTTGTGGCCCAACTTCGGTACGAGAGATCCGGCTTGATTACCGCTATTTCTCTCGTTGACTTATAACACTGATTCGCTTAGAGAGATTGCCGGCACAGTTTGCCGTAGCAACTCTAATGAGGCCGGCTGACTGCCGCATCAAGTTTACCCCATCAAAATTTCCACCTGTTGTCTTTCTCTTTTTCGCCGCTTGTGGCCCCCTTTCGTATTCAAGAGATCCGGCTTGATTACCGTAGTTTCTCTTGCCAATTTATAACACTGAATCGCTTACGGAGGAGTACCGGCTAACTGCCGTAGCAACTCCTTTGGGGCCGGCTTTATAGACCGAATCAATTTCAACCCCAATCGATGCTCCACATGATTTCTTTATCCTTTCTGATTCTGTGCTATAAATGCTGAAAACAACAAATACACAAATGCAGTTAATGTTAATATGTCACGTCGCCTTTATACAACACCATTTCTCATTCTTGTGACGTACCGACAATTGCCGTAGACGCCCTTTTAATAGTGTGATCCTGACGATCAACACTATTCCATTTCATTTGAATCGTCCTCGCCATCTCTTGGCGGGCGCTTCTTAGAGCTTTCTGGTTGGTTACGGTCAGACGTTCGGTCAACTGGTTCCGTGGAATCAACTGCCATGACCTTTTCCGGATCAACTTCTCGCTGACCGCGACCTTTCCCTTGGCGACTGCGTTTAACCGCCTCTACCCGATGGCGTGCGCCATTTTCTTCCAGTCGCAGTCTTCGATTGTCGGGGTCATCCGCTAGTCGACGCTGTACATCGGCGAGATTTTCCCGGAGCTGCTGGTTCCGTAGACCACGTCGTCCAAGCTGGTTAGGGGCGCGTTCTGGGCGCCGATCGCTTTTCTTCACAAGGAATTCGTCGATATACATTTCAACTCCGTCGAAGGGGTCGACGTAGTCGCTTCCCATGGTGTCTTTGATCTTATTAACCCTCTCTTCTACCTGGGAGGCATGGCGTTGTGTAAGATTGCCCTTTTCCATACGTATCTTGCACTTTTTCAACGCCTTTCTTGCCGTATGGGCTATTCCAACATGTTCCATGGGTTCGCCCAATCTCGCCACGTGAGGTCGGAAGAGTAGTGGGATGTCGTCCTTCATGGTATTGGACACCAATTGGTTATGGGTCTTATAATGTGCCAATCTTGCAGCGAAAACCTTTTGCCCCATCCTTCTTGCGGCATGATCTTTAGGATCCACTTGTAACCCGATCGATGCTCTTGCTGCAAGCAACTTGAAGGCTGGATTCACGTGTCGTAATACAAACTGAGCGACATATTCTTGTCGTTCGGGATAATCTCTGTAACAGAATTGTGTCATCCCGATTGGGTCAGTCGTATCCAGTGGCACGTCCAACAAATTCAGATCCAACAGGCTATGTAATCCGTTTCGTCGGATAGGGAGGTAACAATCCCTTGCTGAGTCGCGGGGAATGTATAATTGACGGAAACTTCCTTGTTCCACTCCCTCTTTAATTTCTTTCGCATAGCCCGAGTCGAATAAAAATTGACGCAGCTGGTTCAGAATTGTATGGATCTTATTCGCATCCGCCGAATCGTCTTCAATCCCTATGTATCGGCAGATTTCTATCTTTTGTTCGTCGGTGTCGCGCATATCGTATACCATATCGATTGTTTCGGGGTGTCGGTTATTGAATCGAGAAGTCGTTCGCCGATCGACTTCGCGACGTTCATCCGGTTCGCGCTGACTTTCTTGTGCGCTTCGTTCTCCTGATTCTGCCTGCGGCGGTTCATTACTCGCCGGTGTAGGCGGTTGAAGGTCGCTGTCCAGAATAACGTTTCGTCGGTGTGTCACATTTGCTTGGGACGCTTCTGCAATTGAACTGGGTCCTTCCATCGGGTCATCATCTTGAGCGGTGCTAATAATTGGGTCCACCACATGGACGGTTGACTCCATTCTTTGATACTTTGGGGGTGAGTCTTCCCTTTCTGCGCTGGATGACCTTTTACTTGCGCCAGATTCAAAACCCGCATAATACCTGGCTCTTTCCTGCCAGCGTTTATCCTGTGGGTCTGGCGTTCGATTTCGCGTGTGTTCGCGTCTTTTATCCCATGACCTTTCCGGCGTAGACATTCTAACATTGCGATTACGGAATCCAACTTCCAACGGCACCTGATGACCTTTCTTTTCAGGCTCTGTACGGTATGACTCCGCACGCCGTTGCTCTTCACGTCCTCTAGTCGCTGCTAGAATCTTTGCCGTGTCGATTTTTCGTTGGATGCTTGTCTCCGTTATCTCATTTCCATGGCGTACCCATCCTCTTCCGCCACGGTAGTCTCTGTCGCGAGAACGCTCGCGTGACCTTTCGCTTCGGTAATCCCGTGTCCTTTCCCGGGAATGTTCACGTGACCTTTCACTTCGTCTTTCAGAAGTCCGCTCATGTTCCCGTGAATGTCCGCGTGACCTTTCTCTCTGCAGAGGCGAACGGGGTCGTGTAAACACATCGTCTCGTCGAAAGCCTCTGAGCGCCTGTAAAACATTGCTCTCGGTCTGGCGGGATTTACGCAGCTCCTCCATACGTTCTTCGACTGCTTTCTTTATGTATGGTGCCGGAGCAAAACCCTTTTGCAGTCTTAACTTTTCCCGTAACAGCGCATCAAATAGGTCTTGTTGCATGGCCGCCGGATCGCTCGTCAGCGTGTCGATTTGAATAATGAGCGACTGGCGTATCAGCTGTGCTTCGTCGTCATTGAGGCTGGCTGTCGGTACAGTCGAACTCGACGGATTGGGCTGCGTCTCTCGTGCGGCCTGTTCGCTCGCCTTTTGATTCGCCGCATTGATCTTCGCCCGGAGTTCGTCCTCCAGCTGTTGCCGCCGCATCTTCTCTTGTTCTTCCTCAAACTTCTTCCGGTATGCGTCCGTCTGTGGGCATTTCAATGGCTCCAGAGTCTCATCCCAGCCGCTTTCGTTATTCTGGATCGCTTCCCGGTAGCGATCCTCGAGTAGCATCCGCTCCTCAACTGGGATGCTGCCATAGTTCCTCGCGCTGATGAGGTTTCGAAAAACGTCCATGTTCCCCCGTTTAGCTTCCGTAATCCCCACGAGTGAAACGATATGTGGGTCGCCCAACTTGTGAATGCATGCATAGCAGGGGAATTTCTTATCGACCTTTTTATTATTCCGTAAACAGTCCGGACACTTTGGGTTATAGCCCGTAGATCTGTTTATCTCCGATGCCGTTCCTGAGCTTTTAGGAGTGGCTTGACCTTTCTGTGCCATCTTCTCCGTTTTAAATCTGCAATCAGAAAACAATCCGTCATAATAACCTTTCCACGTTAATCGTTTCCATCTTATCCATTATCAAGGCTTCTCTAGCATTTTTACGCCTATTCCGTTACTGAGCTGAGACTTTCCTAGCTCCTGCTGCCCTTTCTATCACTGTAACGTGGTGACCTTTCTCAACGTTATCAGCACTTTCTGACTACTGTGACCTTTTCTATTAGTCTTATCGCTGCTAATTCTCGCGTTAACCTCTTCACTTTCAATTTTCCATAAAGTTTTTCCCATTCGTTTTTAACTATTTTATGCTTTTTAGTAATATGCAGGGTTCATTACTCGCTGCACATTACACTCGCCCCATTCACTCAGACTCCTTCGCCGGCGGTTTATACGGCTTGAAGTCAATTCGGCCATCCTGATTCATATGAAGCACGTCATCTGCAATCAACGCTTCGACGGCATTCTTAATCCATTCTCTATCGTTCTCAATATTCAATTCTCCCAACTCATAATGGGCGGCCATGAAATTCGAAAGGTCATTCCATGACACTCCATTGGTACCACCGATGGCGTCCAAGGCCACATCTGTGATGGCTATTTTCCAGACTTCCAATTCCATTTTCAGTCTGGGCGTGCGGTCCGTGCCCTGTTTCGGAAGGTAGTAAATAACTTTGTTGTCCTTGTTATATTTGCATCCCAACTTTCCTTCCTTATATGCTCTCTTCAAGACCCGTTCGGTCATGCTGAGTGATGACCTTCCATTCGAATTTTCAGCGACTTGTCTCTTCAAGTCTGCGCCAAGCATTTCGGCTTCCCTAATATTCTGGAGTGCAGCCTGGACTTCGCCCCATGTCCGATTAGTCACATCCAAGGGCGCGCCTAGCGTGTAATCTGTCGGCTCTTTTGTTTTTGTACCGCTAGTCTCTGTTTTCTGGGGGGATGTTGCCGAGTCCGTTATTTCTGTTCTCTCCATTTCGTCAATCCTCAATTTCGCCATTGAACCAGATGATGACTGTGCCGATTTCGGTTCCTCAGCTTTCTCCTTCTGTGGTAAAGTCTCGTGACCTCCCACTTCATCTGCTGACTTCGGCCGCTCTTTTTCAAAAGCCTCCTTCAATGGTGTGAACAATGATTTCTGGTACACCTGTCGCGCAGATGCAGCTTCTGCTTCTACGCTGCCTTGTCCATTGGGAGCATGACCTTTTCTTTCTCCCGTTTTTCTGAAGTCCCATGACCTTTCGGTTGAGTTTCTTCCGTCACAGTTCCAGATGTCTCTTGACCTTTAGACTGTTTGTCTTGTCCTGTCACTGGCTCGCGAAGCGCTGGTGTCGTAGTATCATCGCCACTTTCTTCCGATTCAGTATCCATGGGTCCCTTCTTTTTCGACACTTTCGGTGCTTGTGCTTTAACCCGAACTGTTTCTTCCTCCGCTGTTAACTGCGCGATCCGATTCAATATGGGAGTTGTTGGATCTCCACTCGATGGCACTTTATCCATCTCCTGACTGTCGGACATGGTACAATGGACTTGTTTTTCCGGCGGTATCAGGCCTACCCTCGTGTATCGGATCGGATATCCTTTATGTGCGTTCGTTGTTGACAGGATATTCTGTTTTATCAGCCTTGGCAATACACGTTCAGTTGCCGTATCGATTTCCTTAATCATCCCTTTCCGTCATTCCAAACGGCATTGATGTATTGGCTGATCCGGTGACTCGTTGACCCCAATGGGCTTGTCATTCCCGCGATCGCCCTTTCTACTCGCATAGAGGTATCTTCGTTTGGAGTCGTCAACGACTTATCCGAACTGGACGGTCTGAATAACTTGGCCTTATACGCGAAATTCGGGTGTTTCTGGAGAAGTTTTCCCGCATTCCGAGCATATTCTAATACCACATCGAACTTCTGTTTGGTGAAACTTCGGTGCATTTCTTTTCTCAGGTATTTCTTTATACCCGTTCTGAATTTCGACGTTACTGATGTCGTTCTTATCCGTGTAAAGTTCTTCTCCGCTCCGTCGAATGCGTCGATGATTTCGTCAATTGTGGTCAAATTGTCGCTGTCCGGATCTTCGAATTCTGCTTCATCTCCCGAATAATCGAGTTCACTTTCTCCATCCGGTTCGATGTAATTGGCCATCGCCAATGCATCAATTTTCCTGGCCTCCTTTCCTTTCTTTTTCGGTTTTGTGGGTTCGCTCTTTGCTTTTTTCCCTTTTTCAAGAGCCTCCGCTAGGCTTCCTGGCTCCACGGTTCTTGATCTGGTCGTTTTCGGGTCCGTGTGTGACCTCGTACTAACCGTCGACGTACTTGGGAGGCTCACCTCCGATGCTTCCGATTCGCGGGACGTTTCGTTTCGCTTTCTCGCGCATTCCTTTCTCCCTACGCTCTTTCGTAGTAGATGCCGAGATAACGACCGGTACGATCTGTTTTACAGCTATGACCTTTCCTTTGGATGTTGACGGCTCAGGCTCGGTGACCTTTAACTTTGATGTTGCCGATTCGATAACGAATTTCTTTGGAATAATAGGTGTGGATGACCTTTCTTCCACTTCACCGACTGATTCGTCCAAGATTTCGACATCATGAGACGACGGTTCGTCTTTCTTCTTTCTCTCTCCCTTTTTCTTCCGGGTGTTTGTGCTCTCACTTTCATCACCACTCTTCTTCTTCTTATCTTCTTCTTCCTTCCGTTTTTTTAAAAAGTCACCTTTCTTGACCTTTTCACGGTTCATGGCCTCTTCTAGTTTAGGGGCAACTCTTGGGCGACGAGTTTTGGAGGGTTTAACGACAACTTTTGGTGAGGCATCGTCGTCCTCAACTGCTTCGTCATCTTCTTTTTCGTTGGTCGATTCTTCTTCCGACTCACCGTCATCTGTTTCCTCTTCTGGCTCATCTTGTTTCGATGGTCGCTGGGTACTCTCCGTTCCTGCCATTTCGGCTACGGAGGCCTCTGCCATCTCTCCGACTCCACTTTCTTGTGCCGGATGTTGGGCTTGACTTTCCAAGTGCGGTGTTTCGACCGTCTGTCCCTGTGTGACGATCTCCCACAAAGGGTTTTTCTTCGCGTCATAAAACACCGTTTTATACGCTCCATTTTCCATTCTTCTTGTTAGTCGGAAATGGGCTTCATCTATTTCCGCTCGATGTCGCATCATACTGATCAATGTGTTCGCTTGGACTAGGGGATCTTGACGTTCACTTACTGGTATCAAGTTCCACAGCTGTTCTAGTGCTGCCCGATTAGCGTGCTCGGCGCTCTCTTCCGACACATCCCATGGAGCGTATGGAATCGGATCTCCTGTGATCGGGTCGACGATTACTGCAGTTACACATTCTGTTGTTCCATCGCCGAAGTGGAGTGTCAGCGTCACTTTTCTGCACGTCCCCTCGGTATATTTCAGGGTTGACTCGTAATCGTCTAGTGTTCGTTTATTCGGGTCTGGGTCTGCTGTCGGTTTCGGCCGAATTCTCTCCTTCGTCAGCAACTTCCCTTCCACTGTGTATGTATATGCCAGGTGGTCGTCATTTGTGCCCACCTTAATACGGATCCACGCATTTTCCTCAGTCGCAACTTTGGACACCACGTGTTTCATCATCTGAATGAGGACTCTCGGGTTATGACGTTCCTCCGGGGGAATGAACTGTAATGCCTCATTAACTTCTGTCTTTGCCCTTTCTCCAATAGCAGTTTTGACTGACTTGTCCGCTAGGGGATTATATGAGTCAATCTCCTTATTCGTTCTTTTATCGACTATACGAGCGGTGACCTTTCGTTCGTTATGGTCAGTTCCAGTGTATTTGACTGTGAAAGTCCGGCACTTCGGAAGTCGAACTGAAGCTGCTTCGGGATCCGGCGGCGTGGGTGGTGCACTCTTTCTACCCACTGAAATCGGTGTTTTACTCGTCGTGACCTTTTTCGTCCGCTGCTCCTTCTTGTCGCTTTCTTTTGGACTTGTCGTCGGTGACCTTACTCTTTTTCCGCTTTTTACGGTCCCGCTAGACGGCTCTGTAACCGAACTGGTACGTCCGCGTACTGATCCTGCGGTTGAACTGGCCCGTGACCTTTCTGCCCGTTCGGTCAATTCTGTCTCGATTTTTCTCTTTGTTTCCAGGAGAGCACTGTCCGACATCTCCTCTACTGGTGCTTCAACTGATGCCCGTGATGGCCCCGCCGCGCTGCTTGCTGAGGGTCCCCTTTCTTTGGGAATCGTCTTAAGGAATATCTGTATCTTCTCGATCATCGGCGGCCATTTTCTGTAGGTTAAAGCCGGGTGATACTGTTTCATCGAGGCGATTCTGATCGCCAACTCCTTGCGTTTAACTTCGATGACTTTAGTTTTTTCCTTCATCGCGATATGGACTGTTTCAATGATCGCATCCAGACTCATTAGTCTTCCATAAAATGCATGTTCATCCTCGACTCGCATATGAATTCTATAGAGATCTCGACACATGCGGTTGAAATCCTGGATGCCCGCTGTATCAGCCGCTGTCAGTTTTTCTTCATTTCCCACTATCACGTTCAATCGCGCGTCATCATCTTTCATGTCTAGCGGGAGCTTAGGTGAGTAATCATGCACCGTTGGTTCACCCGGGGGCGTTGCCCGTAGACCATCTGGTCCGACCTGCTCCAAATTTGGGCCCAGCGATGGCAGTACTCCTCGCGGTCGTGGTGAATCAAACCGATTTCCTCCTCGCCTCCCTCCTTTTTGTGGCGAATTCCTGTGAAATCGTTGCGCTCCCAATTGCTGTGGCGCTCTCATCCGAGGCGTTCCGATATCTAACAATGATAGGCCTCCCGATTCTGGGAAAGGCGGCAATATCGGAGATGACCTTTGCGACTGGGTCGCTAACATTCCGCTAAATCCTCCATGACCCATAAATCTACTCGGTGTAGTCTGTTGCGGTGGCGGCATCAACATTCTTGCCGGTCCCATCGCTTGCGGCGGTCCCATCGGTGGGGTATACGCTCCTGGATGCGGTTGATAAGGGGCGCTCATTATTTGTCCCGAATACTGGGTTCCGGCAGGTAAGCCGTGGTGCACCCAGTTTACCGTGTCCTGATAAGTCGTCTGCTGTCCCGGATCGTGATACACATAATACTCCGGGCCGCCATAATAACCTCCCTGGCCTGGCTCGTTCTGTGCCGTTCCTGCTGACGACGTCGACCCTTCGCCATATGAAGTGTCGTATCCGTATTCACCTTCCATTCTTTTCGGGGTCGATGCCTTTAATGGATTTCCGATACTTTCCGAATCCGAATTCTCTGAATTCTGTCGTTCCAATCTATCCATTAACTGAGCTTACCTTCTGTAACAATGAAACAATAATGGTTAGCTGTCGTACGATGATGACCTTTTTACAGCTTCCCAACTCCTATTTTTAATGAAGTGAACCCTTATTCATGTTTATGTGGGTTATTTGTCTTTGCGTCCTTTAGTTATCCGATCAAGAAGTTCTTTATCGGCCGCATCTTCCACTTCGCCTTGCTGGGTCAGTAATTCCGTAGGAGTTATTCTCTTTTTCTTCTGTTTGACTTTTCGCTCGTCAATTGCTTTCGCTATATCC